GTACGACGCGAAGGACTGGAAGAGGGAGCTGCCGAGTTCCCCGAGGAGGCCCCGCTACCAAGCAGAACGGCGGCGGCAGCACCGAGTGCAGCCGCTAGTGCTCCGAGCCACGCCCCGGCGCCACAGGTGGCCGAGGGGGCCCCGGGCGGGGGACTTGGTCCCAGCGATCCTGAGCCTTTGAGCTCTGCCCCCGGAGGCCATGGCTTGGAGCCGAGCGTGGCACAGCAAGGCGAAAATCTCACCCCACAGGCCCCCGTACTTGAGCCAGTACACGAGAGTGGACCCGTACCTGGTGAAGACGTACCAGTGCCCATGATGATGATGATGATGATGATGATGATGATGATGATGATGATAATGATGATGATGATGATGATGATGATGATGATGATGATGATGATGATAACCGAGGTGGTGAGATCGATCGCGATGATGATATCCAACCTGAGCCTACCACTCCTCCTCCGAGACCCTCTGGAGCTGGCGAGTTTCCGCCTGGCTCTCCGGCCTACGGGCCAGAGCGCACGCCGCCGCGGCGGCATCGAGGAGGGCCCATGTCTGGAGCCTTCCTGGCGGAGCCCGACTCGGACGCGGTCTTCTACGCCTGGATGCAGTACGCCTGGCTGACCGGCAAGTCCAGATAGAAGGAGCTCAAGTTTGCGGACCTCACGAAGGCGGAGAAGCTCCTCTTCGACGCGAGCATGGCCAAGGAGTGGGACAACTGGCGCAACTTCAGGGCGGTGACCGTGGTCACGGGCGACGCGGCCACGGAGCTGCTAGGTCGGGTCATGGCGATACCGTCGAGATGGGTACACACGAACAAGAACGAGTACGACCCGAAGCTCCCTCTGAAGGCGAAGTCCAGGCTGGTGGCGGTCGGCTGCTACGAGTCGGTCCACGTAGGGACGGATTCGCCTACGTCGTCCCTGCTGGTGTTCCACGTGATCTGCAGCACGGCGGCCAGGAAGCACTGGCCACTCTACAAGCTCGACGCCACGAGTGCCTACCTACAAGGAGACGACGTCGACAGGATGCTCGTACTGCGACCTCCCTCGCCACTACCACCAGGAGTTGAGGTAGGATCGGTGTTCATCTGCCACGGCGCGATCTACGGCACGAAGGACGCTGGAAGGAAATGGTGGAGTAAGCTACGGAGGACGCTGCGCAGCAACTCGTGCCAAGAGAGCCGCTTGGAGAGGGCGTTCCTCCTCCTGTTCGAGGACGGCAAGCTCGTCGGCCTCGTCGGCACCTACGTGGACGACCTGTTCGCGACAGGCGACCCCAGCAGCGACCTGTTCAAGGCCACGACGGACGAGCTCAAGCGGGTGCTGCTGCTGACGGAGGAGAAGCCGCCCTTCAGGTACTGCGGCAAGGACGTCGAGCAGCTGGCGGACTACACGATCAAGATCAGCATGACGCACTTTATCGACCAGATGGAGACCGTCGTGATGTCCCCGGCCAGGGCGAAGCAGACTAAGGCGATGGCTACGGACGAGGAGCGGAGTGCCGCGGAGTCGGTGATTGGCTCACTCGGATGGCTGTCGAGGCAACTCCGCATGAACGTCTCATTCGGCTACAGCTGGCTGGCGCAGCAGAAGAACCAGGCGACCGTGCAGCACCTACTGGAGATGAACAAGCTGGTTCGCTACTGCAAGGAGACGCGCGAGGTGTGCCTCTGCTTCCGCAACCACATTCTGCACAACGATGAGGACCTACGCTCGGTCGTGTTCGCGGACAGCAGCCTCAACAACGTCGACGACTACGACCTAGGCCCGATAGGCGAGAAGGTGAAGTCACAGCTCGGGTTCGTGTGCTTGCTCAGCGACGACGGCCTCTACAAACATCATGAAGGACCAGTGCATTTCTTGGACTGGGGGAGTTCACGTATCAAGAGAGCTTGCAGAGCCTCGATGGGAGCGGAAGCCCACGGACTTAGTGAAGGAGCTGAAGCGCTGGAGTGGATCCGGGCACTGTACTACGAGATGGACAAACCCGACCAGCCGCTGGGCGATCTGGTGGACGACGTGGCGACCCTGATCCCTGCCAAGTGGTTCGATGACCGTGTTGATATCGCGGCCCTACGAGAGATGCTCAGCCAAGACGGAGTGGACCTGGAGTGGTGCGACACCTCCGTTCAGCTGGCGGATGCGTTGACGAAGCTCGAAGCTGAGAGAGGCTACCTGACCACCGCGATGCACGACGGCTACGTGAGCGTGAGGGTCTCAGCCGAGGCGGCCTCCGCGAAGGAGGCGATACGGGCGGCACGCCACAGGCGTGCGGACGAGCGTCGGGCCCGCGACGCTCAGAGCAGAACCAGGGTGAGTGATGGCGCGCAGCAGGCTACTTTCATGTGCGAGTCGAGACCCTCGACTCTCTTCCGCGGCGCTTCCGCGCCCCTTCCGCCGAGATCGATTTCACGGACGCTGGTTTGAGCGGTCGACCGATCGGTCTCGAATAATGTAGCTGGATGATCGAGGACGGGTGTTGAATTGCATCTGCGATCATCCCTTTTCCCAGCCTGCCCCTGCCGCTGCCTCTCTCACCCGATCAGACCGCTGACATTTGGTTCACAGAGCTCTTGAGTTTACGGCGCAGAAAACCAGAAACGATCGCGGGCGGCGGCCCGCTACTTGATCCTCCTCCTCCTCCTCCTCCTCCTCCTCCTCCTCCTCCTCCTTCTGCCCTCTCCCTCAGCTCCTCGCCCCCGTCCGCCTCCTCCTTCCCTCCTTCTCAGCTCTCGCAGGGCTGGGAGGGCTGGGCTGGGCCGGTCTGCACGGGTTGGGCTGGGGTGGGCAGGGCTGGGGGGGGGGGGGGGGCTCGGTCGGGCTCGAGGGTCTCCCTTCGTGCCCCCCATCTCGGCCCTCGTTGGGCCAGGCTGGGCGGGGTCGCAGGGCCGTGCCTCCCTCCCTCCCCCTCCCCTTGGGCCGTCCACCTCCCCCCCTGCCCCCTCCTCCCGCTTGGAGGGGCGGGCTGGCTCGGGGTCTGGCGGGACAGGGCTGCGTCGGCCCCGGGGTGGCCTTTGGACCGCTGTCCCTGGTCGCGCCTCTCCCGCCCCCAGTCCGACTCCCCTCGCGCCCCCGACGTCCCCCACTGACGGGGTGCGCGGCCGAGGGAGAGGCCTGGGCGGGCTTGCAGCTGCCCGGCACTCGGGACCAGGGTACCCCCCACCCACCCCTCCTCCCCCCCTCTCCGGCCCTCCTCCCCCTCCCTCTCCGCAGTTTCTGGCACAATCTCGGAGTTGGCCACATGGGAACGACAAGCATAGAGTTTGTGTAGGCAGATTGGCGGTGCACGGCTGGAGTCGTATGGCTACGGATCAAGTCACGAATTTTCGAAACTCCCTTCAGAGTGGGATGGGAACTGTGTCTTGCGGCTGGTCGGACGGCCCGGCCATCCCTCTCAACAGATCCTTCTGCCCCGCCCTTCTGTGTTCCGCGGGCGCGGCCCCGACCTGCTCCGCAGCCCCAACCCCCCCTGGTCCGCTCCGGCCTCTGTGTTTCGCACGCGCGCGGCACCGCCCCCCAGCCCCGACGAGCCAACCTCGCTCCTCCCCGCTCCTCCGAGCCCAGGCACCCCCTCAGACGGAAAGACAATCCAAACCGACAGAAAACGAAAACCGACGGACACGCTGCCTCCACGAAAAAGACGAAGCGCCCACGACGCCTGCTGCGCCGCACGCGCAACAGGCAGGAGGGGGGCCCACTTACCGCGCATCGTCTGAATTTGCCAGCCTACCTGGCCAAGTCTGCCTAAACCTTCTGCGTGGGTTTCACGCACGGCGTGGGTCGTTCAACTTTGAACGATCTCTGTTCTCCGAGAGTGGAGGTCGTCTTGTGTCAGCCGGTTCTGGGAACCAGCGGCGTGCTCCACCTTCAACGCCCGCACTGGGGTCGCCCACGCGTCGACATGGCACGGACACTGCTCAGGTTGCGCTGTGATTTGATCAGGCGTTGGGTCAGATGAGCAGCGTGTTAGTAAACATTGGTTTAGCCAAGCTTGGTTTAGCCAAGCTCGGTGTAGGTAATCTTGGTATGGCGAATCGTGGGGCTATCTAGACGCCGTGTTAGGCAAGCGCTGTTGTAGTTGATCATTGTTTTACTTGAGCATGGCTTCGATACGAACGCATTTGTTTGCTTTGCCGTTGGGTTAGACACGCGCTGTACTAGCCAGCTTGGCTTTAGTTCAGAGTTTAGATGTGCCTATATTTAGGTGAGGTTGCTATTAGCTTAATTCGTGGTTGCGCTGAAAACAAGCTTGGGCTTGGTTTAGCTAAGCTCGGCGTTACTGAGTATGCCTTGAACTAAGCTGGGTTTAGGCCATTATTGTTTCAGTTGGCATTGGTTGAAGTAGGTACTGCTTTTGTTAGGCATCGTCGTTCAGTCAAGCATCGTTTACTTTCGGCATTGACTATAGTTAGGCATTGCTTTGGCAAAATTGAACGATCCACCCCGTTCAGACACCAACGCCGAGGCCGTCAAGACACGAACTTGCCGTACGCATCGTTTTAGTTGTGCATTGCTTTCGGTTCAGCATCGATTCAACTAGATATTGTGCTAGTTAGGCGCTGTGTTGGCCAAGCTTGGCCCGCATAGATAAGCTTGAACTAGTCAAACGTTGTGTCAGACCAGCCTGATGTTAGGCAGGCATTGTCTAGGTGAGGCTCCCCGCCGCGCCGCCTCCCCCCCCCCAGCGCACAGCCAACCCACTCCTGGCAGCCCCGCGGTGCCTCCACCTCGACCCCTTCTTCACTGGATTCCGCACGTGCGGTACCGCCCCGCGCCAGCCAAGGGCGCATCACTCACAGGAGACGGTACTAGTTGGACACATCCTGCAGGAACCTCGGGCCCGATGAGCCTACACGGCGGTTCTTTGTTGACCCTCAAGCAATGCCAAAGGGGTCACCGCTGAGGGGGTCGTCATTGCCCCCCCCCTTGGCACAACTCGGCCCCTGCCTAGTCGGCCCGCGATGCCCGATCAACCTGCCCCACCCGGGGCGGTGCCTCCGCTGGCGGAGGCTGCGGATGCCACGCAGCCCCGCGCCGCAGGCGGCGGCACCTGCCCTGACGCCCCCTGAGGAGGTCACCCCCGTCGCCGCCATCCTCGTCGTCTTCGCCGTCGTGGGGGGAAGAGGAGGACGAGGCCGAGAAGCAGGAGGATGTGGAGGCTGCGTATTCGACTATGAGCCTATTGCTTCACATCGGCCTCGGCCCTCGGCGGTCTTCTGACTGTCGTTGGTGGTCCTTGTCGGTTTCTGGCGGTCTTCGGCGCGAAATGTGGATAGCTGCGTTTCAACAAGGGGTCCATGATCGAATAGCTAAGGGATGGGGGGAGTGGACGGGCGATGATGATGATGATGATGATGATGATGATGATGATGATCATGATGATGATGATGATGATGATGATGATGATGATGATGAGGAGGAGGATGAGGAGGAGGAGGAGGAGCAGGAGCGAGACGCAGAAGGAGGAGCGAGGAGGGTCTGGGGAGTTTCGTGGGAACTGTGATTAGTTTCGAGGGTTTGTAAGGGCATCTGGGGGATTCTAGAGGGTCCTAACGGGTTCGGGGACACACGCATGAGGAAGGGTATGGAAGATAGAACGAGGGATGAGGGAAAGCGGAGGATATGGGATGGTACAGAGAAGATTGGGCGGCCTGCCACGAGGGGGTGTTGGGCATAGCGGAGAATGACGATGAGGGAGAACGGATATTGCCGAGGATAATGAGGAGGGAGGGGGCGAGAAGGATACCAGCGGGTGCAGGAGGAGAGGGAAGGAGAGGAGAGGAAGGAATCGGCAGGAGGAAGATGAGGGATGATGAGGAGGGATGAGAGGGGATGAGAGGAGGAGCAACATGATAAAGAACAGCGGCAGCATCAGTTGGAGAAGGGAGGAGCAGGATGAGTAGGGCGAGGGGAAAGGGGAGCTCAAGCAGGAGCAAGAGAGGCAATGGCGCACCCGTTGACTCCCGCTCTCGTCCTGCTGTGACTACTGGCACTGCTGCTGCCGCCACTGCTCACCACTCACTCACCCACCACCCAAAAACTCCAAACACCATAAGCCGATAACCAGCCCGCTTCCCCCACCCTCAACCCTGGACGTGCCCCCCCCCCCCCCCCTGCGTATCTTTGTCATATCAAACCTCACATGCTTGCAGATAGTTTCTACCTGGGCGTCGGTTGCAATGCAAGGTCAATACAGCACATGTGGTTTCGCCATGCGGCCGATTTCATAAGATGGCCCACGCTTATGGGGCACTTCGGCAGTCCTCACGAGCAACCATCCCCAGACCACGTATATACGATTATATGTGTACATATATACATGCCTCGCCGAGAGCGTGATGGGGGTGCCCTGATTGTCCCGAACGGCCTCGGGAGATCCGAGTCATGATTCACAAACCATCAGAGGGGGGGCGGGGCTTCCCCTTCACTTTATAGCTTCGGGTGACCTTCCCTTTCCTTTGATTGGCACTCGTTTCGCGTGTCCCGACGTGGGCTCGACGCAACTTCGACGTGAGTTCGGCATGTACTCAACACGGATTCGACGCGTCCAACATGGATTCGACATGGATGCGACATGGAACATGGATGGCTGGCGCGATGGCGCAGACGAGGACCTCCAAAGATGCACCACGGCTGTCCTGCGGCAGCGCTCCCAAAATCAAAGATCGGAGGGAGCATGTACCGATGCTATTGCCATTGCCTCGTTTTCACCTTCGCGTGCACATCCTGGCCAGGCCTGGCGCGCTGCGCGCGCCCCGCCCAGCGCCGGCCCAAGAGGTCCGCGCGGACCTCCGAGAATTGATGCTTGTGCCGTGGGGAAGCCAGCACAATGCCCATACGGCTGCTGCCCGGACCTGGCTCTCCCGTTGGGGTGCGTCCTGACCAAGATTTCAGGGCGAATCCAGCCGAGGCGCCGAGAGCCTCACAGGAGGCCCAAAACGGCGAAGACGAGGCAAGGGTGCCAGTATTGGCACGTTCCCTGAGTTCCAGCGCTGCACAAACATTACAACATCGCGACAAATCACGACTGGAGCCTTAGACCCCATCTTTCTGAGGCATTTTTCGAGCCAGATCGAGCGGTTAAGGTCCTGGAACCCACTTTCGGGTGAAAGCAATCTCATTCTCGCGGTATCGGTATCGAGAACTCTGGCGGCGCGGCATCCGCACCTCTCCCTCCACCGAGTCCAAGTCGCCGCCCTGTGCCCCCTCTCCCCCAGCGGCTCTCCAGCGCGGCCCGCACCCTGCGCCACGCGCGCCGCGCCAGCGCATCGCCTCGAATCGAATCGAGGTCGGATCGCCGCGCCCGGCTCCGGGCTGGCCCTGGCCGGTGCTGGCGAATCGAACCGGATCGAATGGGATCGGAATCGCGGCCCCGGCCGGCGGATCGGTGGGATCTTGTTGTTTTTCTGTTTTCCCCCGTAGCGGTCGTGTTGCCCGGGGGGGGGGGGGCGGGTAAGGGTAACACTTGGGCGGGGTGGGGCACGTCGGGGCGGGGTGCGCTGCGATCGCCACAGTGTGTGCGCGAGCACCAACATGTGGGGGGGTCCTGGCCCCGCCCCCACGTGCGATCGTTGCCGCCCAAGCGACGACCGCTACGCGCCAGAGGATAACTCAACGACAATCTCTAGAACTCCGCGACTTGCCCCCATTCTGGAGGCGACCGGGGGGTCTGAGCTGCATGGGGCCCCTCAAAAGCGTTCAAGAAGGGGGCGTGAGACCAAATCCACTCAAAATCGGTCCCTGCCGGCTCTGACTGCAACAGGATGTCTGGTGTCCTCGAAGCAGTAAAGAAGGAAAACACTATAGTTGAAAGAAGGCGCCGACAAGCGCATACTTGTTGAGAGGATGCAGAACATGCAATCACTTGTTGTCGCTGATGCAGAAGACCCCTGGTGCAGTTCCCCCCCCCGGATCAGATTCACACGGTCCCGGGGGCCCCAAAACGGCGCCCGCAGGCCGAAAGAGGCAACAACAATCCGCATCGAGCCCAGAGCGCCTCGAACCTCGCCCCCTTCCCCCCTCCCTGCTGGCGGGAACCAGTGCTGGGCCACCTCAGGCCCCCAGCTGGCTCCCCCCAAAAACAATATCTATAGGCGACTATGGCTTGCCCCTTTTCCTCGACGGCCCTCCAGCGCGGTCCGCGCCCCCGGGCGCGCCGCGCGGCGCGGGGGCTCGCGCGCCACTCTCCGTGGGGATCGCGGCTCCCTCGCAGCGAGAGCCCGCGGTCGCGCGGCCCCCCCATAGGAGGCTGTGTGAGGAAGAGGGAGGGGGACCACACGGCGACCAGCCGGGGACAGGCGCTGGTCGAGGCGGATCCGCGCGGAAGCACAGAATCAGGGGAAAGGGCCCGCCCTGCAGGTTCGGTTAAACAGCACATCGTTGAGCGGTGCTGCAGCCTCCCCTGAGCGCAGGCCCCCCCCCCAGAGGAGGCTGTGTGAGGAGGAGGGGTGCCCCGGCGTTTGGTGTCTGCTCAAGGGGAGTTTACGTGGCCCCCAGCGCTGTCCGATCTGGACCTGATTTGGACACATCTGGGACCGGGCTTTGACCGGATTCGCCCCTCCAACTGAAGGGGAGGCACGAAGAGCGAGAAGGGGGAGGAGGAACAGTAGGCGAGGAGGAGCAGGAGGAAGGGCCGAATGCTGTCCAAACGGGATCCAACTGCAGGGACAGCTAATTTCAATGTCGCCGCCCAGAACTCACATGAACAGACATCAAAAGCCATCTGGCGTCTCGAACAGAATCGGCACGGAAATCTGTCATTGCTTTCGGCCTGTCGGGGCCCTTGCCGGGCCTCGGGACCGTCAAAAAACAACTCGGGATGAAAAATCGGTCCCGGGGAAATGGTGGAGAGGTCGGGGGCCCGCGTCTCGAGAAAACCGAGACGCCAGACGTCTGGGAAGGAGGGGGTAGAGGGGCATCAGCTGGTGCCGAGTCTGCGCCCCGTGCCGCCGAACTGCTGGAAGCTGCAGTTCGCGGAGGGCCTTGCGGCCGTGCCGAGGAGGCGGAGGAGGACGAGTAGGCGGGACAATGGAGGATGGTGGGTTCTCTTGTTGCAAACGACCCCATGTCGGCGCCGAGCGAGGGGGGGGGGGAATGAGAAGGAGAAGGCCTTCTCAGAAGGCTGCGGGACCTCTCAGAGACCCTCTGGCCTTCTGAGAAGTTTGTTGTGTCTTCGGGGAAGGCTGAGAACACTTCTCAGAAGACCGGGGAGTTTCCGAGACTTCTGGTAAGGCCCGCCCCTTCTCCCTTCCCCCCTCGCTCGCCGCCGACCATGAGCAACCGCCACGTCAAGGATCGGTCGCCGAAGTGCTCTGCCCGTTCAAAATAATACATGACGTGGCGTGATTATTTTTCCGGGCGCCTGCGGCGGAATTTGGAGGGATCGATGGTCGGAAAATAACTTGAACTAGATTCCCAATAATTTCTGCGCAACAAATCCGAACGAACCCGGACAATTTACGCTAGCGCCAACTACTGGTAACACGGCGGAGCGCACCAGCGGCTGGTCACGGACGAGGCGCAGCCATTCGCTTGCAGCAGGAGGGAGAGGAAGAGGACGGAAAGAAAACAGAAGCGGAGAGATTAAGGGGCCAGAGACACAAAGTCAATGATAATCTCGCGAAAGACCCGACCGATCACCATGAACACACGGAAAGCGGCCATGGAAACCGACAGGACCCAGCGATGGAGAACGAGAAGGCATGTTTCCTTGAAGAGCGGGAAGACACGCTACGAGGAGGGGCACGAGGGGGGCGAGGCGGAGGACATTCAGGACGAGGCACCTCGCCCGTGGAGAGGGGGCGTCGTCTGCCGATGGCCCTGCGCCCGCCTGTTCGGCGCCCGTGCGGCGAGTGGCCCCTGCAGCTGGGACGGCCATCGTGGGAACTGCAGGAGGCCCCCCGTGCCTGACCTGACCGGCCTCTCGCGGATCTCATGGGACCACAACTGCCACGGTCAGGGGCGGCTGCTTCGCGGGTCCCGGCTGCGGCCCGGCGACACGCTGTGCCCTGCCAGCGGATCGCGAGTCGCTCCGCTCCTCGGATCTCCGCGGGGCGGGAGGCCGGGACAGGATCGGAGCGGTCGTGATCGGGGGCCGAAATGATCGCGGAGGCCGCAGACAAGATCTGGAAATGCTTAGCGGGTCGCGCCAGAGCGTGGTGGGCCAGAACCCGCCTGCGTGCGAGCTGCGTTGAAGTTTCGGGTCGGAGCAGGAAGCTTTGGAAAGCAGTGTGATCGTCTGGCCTGTGAGGGAAGGGGGCTGGCGATGAAATGAAGCGCCTACTCGGCCAAACAAAACATGAAGGCGGATGCGACAAATGCGTTATTTGCCGCGTTCGCCAGCAACTTGCACACCTGTGAGTACTGCACCGAAGACACTGCCGTGTACTACCTGCACCCATTTGCAGGCAATCAGGACGAGTCAGAGTCCGAAGGCACTTTCTGATGCACGCAAGAGTGGCTCTGGGCAAGAGTGACCGTTGCTGAGCGGCCCGAAGTGGCCGTGGAAGGGGGAGGGCAACGCCTACGCGTGCAGGCCAGTGCTGGGGGGACCCCTGTGAGCCCGCACCAAGCATCTGAAGATTAACTGCGTTTTCCTCCCCACGCCAGGGGCACCATTCGATTCGCTGCCACAAGTGAAGCAAGATCGCGCGGCGTGGGCACCGCTCGTCTGCAATGGCGCCGCCGCTGACGTCGCGGAATAAAGCGTAGAACCCCGAACTCATGTGCAGGCATGCAGTCATCGCGCGAAGGAACGACGGGGCTTTTCTGGCCGCGTCGAGCCTGAGTTCCACACCTGAAATCGAAGGAGTTGCCCGGCAATCAGAGTTCGTCCTGAGCCCAAGGTGGTCCTTGTTTCAGCTTCTTGACTGTAACGTCTTCGAGCAGAAACTTGAATTCAAGAGAGCCCGGCCACGGAGCCAGGTCGGGGCTGCGCGGCCAAGACGACGCCCACAGCCAGATGGCTGGGCGCCGGCAATCATGCTCCAGGCTGTCCCGCGTCCTCGCGCACCCGAGTTTGCAGGTCCCGCAGCCGCTGCCTTCCCTGCCATGCGACGCATCCTATGGTCGTCCACCCATTCCACCACGACTGGTGTTCTCCATCCAATGGCTGGCACAATTTCCTGAATGTTTTCCTGGCTGGGACGCATGACCACATCGCGAGACCTTTAGCCCAAACAATCAACGCCACAATTCTGTTTTTGTCAGACTGGCGCAAAACAATTTCCACAGGAAACCGCGCAATGCGCTCGCGTACGACAGAAAGCAGTCACACGACACTAAGTCGAATGACCAAGATCGACGCGTACATCCAAAACAGCTACGAAAGGCAGCGTAAGGCAATCAGCTCCAGGGACTGATTTCGCGCATCGCGGTGGACGAGAAGGAGGCAGAGGAGAAGGAGGAGGAGGACGAGGAGGAGGAGGAAGAGGAAGAGTAGGAGGAGGATGAGGAGAGGAGGAGGAGGAGGAGGAGGAGGAGGAGGAGGAGAAAAAGGCGACCATCAGAGCAGTGCGCCAGTCCATCCCCGTCGTAAACCTGTCGACCTCGTGGAATGGGTGCGACGCCCCACGACTGGACATCTGATGACGCCAATTGGTTGAGGGTACGATCCAGGAGGACCACACCTGCGATTCATGTCCCCCCACAGCGTTCAACAGAACATGTGTGCTACCGAGCCCTTGCATCCAGAGGCAGGTGGGTATGGATAGCATGCGCCACCAGAACCGAGACAAACACAGGACTTTCGGGGAATATGATGCTGCTGCTGCGCCCGCTCCCTCCGGCTGGTGCCTGGCCTGCCGGGTGTTCGAGAAGGTCAAATAATGTACGCCGCACTTCTCTGGCAAACCCGAAGGACGAAAGCCCACCGCATCGCAGTCTCAGCGGCTTCATGTGCGCCCATACGCTGTACTGAATCATCGAGCGCCCCGCCACGCCTTAAGGTCGTAGTACCAAAACATGTTCTGGGGAGAATGGCTGGGCAAGGGAATGCCTCAGTCTCCGCCGGAGAAGGTGTACAAAGAGGGAGGAGACAGGAGAGGGAGACATGGGAAGGAGGAGGAGGAGGAGGAGACGCAGGAGGAAAGGCGAGAAGAACCCCGCCAGTCCTTTGGGGCTGAAGTGGTCTAGGGCATGTCCTCTTCCAACCCCCAGCCCCTTCTTCCCTATCGGGGAAGGGGGTACCCCTCCCCTACCCCACGCTGCAAGACTCCTCTCCTTGCGTGACCCATGACAAACACGGCAGACCAGCACGGCAGACCAGACCAACACGGCAAACAAGATCAACACGGTAGACCATGCCAACACGGCCTGGCAGACCAGCACCGCAGGCCAGCACGGCAGACCAGCACGGCAGATCAGACCAGCACGGTAGAACAGCACGGCAGACCAACGGCCCTTGTAGGCCCTCTGGGTCGGCCCAGAGGTGGCCTCGGGCTTCAGCACCTCAGTGATGCCCCCTCTAGCCTTTATAGGCCCCGCAGAACCAGAACCATCACAACAGACCAACATGGCAAACCAATTGAATCGTGCTGGTCTGGTCTACCGCGGCGGTCTGGGTTGCCAGGCTGCTCTGCCGTGCTGGTCTGCAAATCTAGTCTGCCATGCTGGTCTACCGTGCTGGTCTGGTCTGCCGTCTTGGTCTGCCGTGCTGGTCTGCCGTGCTGGTCTGCTGTACTAGCCTGCTGTGCTGGTCTGCCGACCTGGTCTGCCTGCTGGTCTGCCATGCTGGTCGGCCGTGCTGGTCAAAAGTGCTGGCCTGGGAGCCTTTGGGGGTCCTCTGTCTTGGGGCCTGTTGCCGTGTTGAGGCTATCTTGGGCGTCTCGGGGCGATCAAAGGCCGTCTTGGAGGCCTCTTGGACCGTCTTGGAGGCCTATTAGGGCCTTCCTGGAGCGCGGAAACCCTCAGCACTTGCCGGACCCGTGCCCCTGCGCTGACTGAAGGTTCCCCCCGCCCTATCAGGGACGCCCCTACCCCTGGGTCCGGATCGGAGGGGGGCGGGGAGCGGTCAGAGCACCCACGATGGCCCACAAGACTGCCAAAGAGAGCTTCCGATATGTCCCCATGAGGCCCCAAAGACCTCTGCAAGATGTCTCCAAGTGGCCTCGGAGCGTCCAAAGGAGGCTCCCAAGAGGCCAAACTCATTTCGACTGATCTTCCCTGACCAACGTTTGCACTCAGGGTTTTTTGTTCTTCAAAACCTGGATGGGTACTCCTCGTTTGCGCCACGCTGCTGCCCGTGCTGCCTCGTGGGCGCCCCGCGCCTGGGGGGCATGCCGAGGTTGCGCCACGTTGCCGCCCGTGCCGCCTCGTGGGCGCCCTGTGCGCGGGATGGCTTTGCCGAGGTTGCGCCACGCTGCCGCTCGTGACGCCTCGCGAGCGCCTCGTGGGGGCCCCGTCTTCCGAGCCTACACGACATAGCTTCCACCATAGCTTCCACCAGTTAATTTTCACCGCGTATATTACACAAGCTGGCTTCCATCACATAGCTTACACCCCATAGCTGCCACCTCCAGTTCACACCACCTAGCTTACACGACATAGCTTGCACAGCATCGTTTCCACCTCGACATCTCAAACCACATGGCTTTCACTACACAGCTTACACTCCATAGCGTTTTATCCCCACGGTGCGATAACGCACGATGTGGGGCCCATGCTGGCTAACATGGACTATCAATGATTGTTGTTTTCTCGCCGTTTCACTTCCGAAGTGATTTTTTTTGACATCAAGATGGCTTCAATCTTGCCCATCCGGGCAACAGCATAAACCAAATATGGCCCTACTACGGCCTCACGAGAGCCCAAGAGTGGCCCAAGAGCGTCCAAAAGAGGGCCCCAAGAGGCGATTTCGGGGGCTCCACAGGTGGGGTCTCCCCCCCATTCCGTTGATCGATTTCCTCCAGAATGCCCCCAGGAGGGTCCTCAAGGCTCCGAAGAGGGCCCCGAAAGAACACCAAAAGCGTCCCAAATGGACCTCCTCCTCCTCCTCCTCCTCCCCTCCTCCCCCCCCTTCTCCTCCTCCTCCTCCTCCTCCTCCTCCTCCTCGTCCTCCTCCTCCTCCTCCTCCTCCATGGTTCGTGGATTGAGGGCGGGCTGATTCCTCAGCGTGGGACCCGAGGAGGAAAAGAACCCATGTGAACATGCTGCGACGGTTCGAGATGTATTCGCGCGGCGCTGAGGCGAGAGCCTCGCTTCGAAAAGGAGCGGCCCTCGACCGTTGACGCCATGTCACACTTTCAACACGAAGGTCCACGGCGAGAGACGCACATGTTGCAAGGGATTTCGTCCGTGAAAAGGCTGCAAACTGCTAAAACCAGTTTGCGCGGCGCTGAAGCGCTAATCACAATTTGAAAAATAACCCGCCCTCCATCCATGAAGTTGCTGCAAGATGTTAGCTCGAATATGCGCGGCGCGAAGGCGCCAACTACATTTTGAAAACCGCCCGCCTTCCATCCTTGAAGCTGTTGCAACTTTCAACCTTCGAGATCATGAGTGGTGATCGGGCTCAGGCGAAAAGCCCGGCAAGCCCTACCGACAATGAACTATTCATAAGGAGCAGGGGTTGAGGCGGAGGATGTCAGGATATGAATAAGGAGGAGAAGGCGGAGGAAGACATGCTGGCGGGAGACCGGTACTATGATTTTGCCTATTCTTTGGTTCCCGTAGGTTTTCTGCAATTGCTCATTGGACTAGAACAAACAAATATTATTCTATATTTTCATACATGTATAGAGAGAGAGATCTGGGCTCCCACAGGGCCCCCCCACAGGCATTATTACTAATACTCTTGCTTGGACCTTCTCCTGGAAATGTGTATCCCTGCTGGGACTCTTGGCGAGGCACTTGCAAAAACTCTTAGTAACATTCCCTACTATCACTCGCAGAAGGACCCCCTACTGGGACTGTTAGCGCGGCTGCCTGCGCGAAAACTCTTTAATCCGACTCCCTAGGCGGCCCCAATGTGGCCTCTCCAGTTGGATTCCCCACTAGGACAGTTGGTAAGGCTCCATGCTAGGACTTCTTAGCAAGGCTTTCTGACACAACTCCAACTAGGACCGCCCCGCTAAGGACTCTGTCTGGGACTCCCAGCGAGAAATCTTAGCATCGCTCCCGGCAAAGGCTCGTAGTGGGCCTCAACGCAAAAACTCCGAATCGGACTTCCCCGTATAATCGCTGGGGGAACGCCGGGAAAGCGCGCCATTTGACCCTGTGGAAACGTCCCAGACGTTCTGCGGGCTCGATTCTGGTGCCCTCGGAATTCATCGCACGGGAAGCGCCGAGCGAGCGCGCCATTCGACCCTGTGGGAAAGGCCCCGGAAATTCAGCGGGCTGGATTGCCGTGCACTCGGAATGCACTGCAGGTGAGGCACCGAGCAACCGCACCATTCGACCCTTTGGAAACTGCCCCAAAACACAGCGGGCTCGATTTTCGCAACCTCGGAATTCCCCGCAGGGGAAGCGCCAGGCGAGCGCGCCAGTCGACCCTGTGAGAATGGCCCAAACATTCCGCGGGCTCGATTTCCTCACAGTCGGAATGCACCGCACGGGAAGCGCCGAGCGAGTCTGCGAGTCGACCCAGTGGAAGAAAGCCCAGACATTCCGCCGGCCCGGTTTTCGTGCCCTCAAAATTCATCGCATAGGAAGGGCCGTGCGAGCGTGCAATTTCGACCCTATGGACTGCGTTGACATTCCACGGGCTCGATTTTTCCGCGGGCTCGATACTCATGCCCCCAGAATCTAACGCAGGGATGCACCGAGCGAGCGCACCATTCGACCTGGTGGAATCTGCAAAGAAATTCCGCGGGCTCGATTTGCCCGCGGAATTCAACGCAAGGGAAGCGCTGGGCGAGTGACCACATTCGACCTTGTGAAAACTGCCAAGAAATTCCGTGGGTTCAAAAATTCAGCCCGCGGAACTTCCTGGTAGCTTCCAAAAGGGTACCGTGGCGGGCTCGCTCGGCGCTTCCCCAGCCATGGGCTCCAAGGGCACATACCTGCGCACATGTGGGCAGACTCTGGGAACTGAGCCCCTGACCTTGGGCTTATTATACCTTTGCTTTCACCGCTGAGCTACAGAGATCCTGGAACGTAAAATGACACACCTTCTGGTCAACTTACAAAGGCAGAATGAGGGGGCTGAACCGAACGGTCATTCACTGTCCCTGGGTGCGTGGCTGAAGTGGAATTCCGCGACGCGGATTCTTGTTGTTGTTGCTGTTGTTGTTATTGTTGGTGTTGTTGCTGATGATGATGATGTTGTTTATTGTTGTCGTCGTCCCGCCCGCGACCCGCCCCACGACCCACCCGCGACCCACCCCGCGACCCACCCGCGACCCACCCGCGACCCACCCCGCGACCCACCCGCGACCCACCCCGCGACCCACCCGCGACCCACCCGCGACCCACCCCGCGACACACCCAAAATGTTCGGCGCCTGCGGCGGGTTTCTTTTGCATTCGTTCCAGGTCGTTCCAGATGGAGAACCTGCGACCCACCCGCGACCCAAACCGCGTTCAGTGTGAAAATCAAAATTTTCGGCACCTGCGGCGGGCTGTTTTTGAATTCCTTCCAGGCGGAAGTGGAGAGCCCGCGACCCACCCGCGACCCAAACTACGTTCACTGAACAAGCCAAAACTTCGGCGCCTGCGGCGGGTTTCTTTTGCATCGGCGACCCACCCGCGACCCACCGCGACCCACCCCGGCGACCCACCCGCGACCCACCCGCGACCCACCCGCGACCCACCGCGACCGCGACCCACCCGCGACCCACCCACCCGCGACCCACCCGCGACCGCGACCGCGACCCACCCGCGACCCACCCGCGACCCACCCCGCGACCCACCCAAAGTGTTCGGCGCCTGCGGCGGGCTTCTTTTGAATTCGTTCCAGGCTTCTTTTGCATTCGTGAGGGCCACGAGGTCCGCCGGCTCGACGCTCGCGTCGCCCGCGCCCGCCCCCTCACTCTTATCCGCAATTGCGTGGTGCTACGTATTTTATGTGAAGCAGCTGCTACAACAAGCCATGTCTTCACGTGCACGAGAGACCAATAGGCGAGTTCCTATAGACCACGCTGCTACTCTACAGGGGGTAGGCCACCACGCGCCCGCTTCACGCCACAACGAAGACCAAACGCCCACAAGCCACCCCAAGGAAATCATCGTCCCCCACACCCCCGTCCTCTGGGAGAGCAAGATCACAGGACGGCCCTGCCAGCGACATGCCCCCCTGAAGAGCGACGGCCTGGTGGCCCAGGAACCTTCCTCGGCCGCACCGTAGCTCCAGTCGGACCGGCCCGAGTTGTACGCCTCAGTGTTGTCGTCCCTCCTGCGAATTCACATAGCATGACATCATCATCGGCAATGGGTCCCTGCTGCTGGGCAGGCCGCCTATTCAACACAGCCTCATCCCAGTTCAGGAAAGGGAAACGGATGACCTGACTTTGGAAGTATGCAGCCTCCTATGGAGGCTGGAAATGATATCCTTCACACCTTTGGTGGGAGGTGTGCCTTCGGCCTTAATGCCCCTCGGATCCGGGCGACGCAAACAACCCGTGACGGCCAATGTCTCGTAGTTCCAATCCTCCGAAAGCCGTTTACCAGCCCAGGGACGTCCCAAAACAGGCCCCGGCGAACGGGTCGAGATCCTCGTGTGATGACGCCACGAACAAGCGGAGAGCAAGGAGGGGAAGCGAGGAGGGATGACGGGATGAGAGGGATGGCGGGGACGAGAGGGAGAACCAAGGAGGACGGATGGACGGGAAAGTTGCGTGGAAGGGATACAGGGGATGCCGGGGGAAGAAGGAGAAGGAACGCAAGTAAGAACCAAAGTCTACATACAAAAGGTAGGGATGCACGGCCCTAGGAAGTCCCATTTACTCTTTAGGGCTCCTTGGACGCCAACATTGGCTCAGGATGGGCCGAAGAAGCAGGAGTGCAAGGATGACTTTGACGAAACAGCGCATGCTTACTATGGATTTTGACTGCAACGCGAAGCGCAGCAGGTGCCGATCACAAATACATGCTGCTGAGCTGTTCGGAATAAGTTGACGTGTGCGGAAGAGGTCTGGGGAGGAGAATCGCCGTGCCGGACTTCGCTGTAAAGGAAAGCGGGGACGGATGAGGAGGAGGGGGGAAAAGGACGGGGGAGCAGGCATGGAGGGAAGGGATGGAATAGGGAAATGGAGAAAGGGCGGGACGTCGTCGTCGCCGCCGCCGTCGTCGCCGTCGCCCTCCGCCTCCTCCTCCTCCTCCTCCTCCTCCTCCATTTCCCTTTCCCCATCTTCCGCCGCCTACTCAGATCACGGTCATCCGCCCCTGGCAAGGAGCTCGAAATGCGATCCTGACGTAGATCAGGTACGCAAGAAGCGCCCCCAACAACATCGTGAGCGGAGTCGCGTAGTAAATGGCCTGCTGAGCGATGACGGCCGTCGGCATATGGCTGGAAAAGAACGGGTGCCTGCTATGCACCTGCGAACATGAGTGGGAGGCGGGAAGGTAAGGACGTAGAGGGGACGAAGGGATGCGGGAAGAGGGAGGGGAGAGAAGGCAAGAGCATGAGGAGGCAAGAGGGCAGCGGGAAGAGGCCGTGACGCGAAGGAGTTCAGGAGGAGAAGGGAGAGTGAACAGGGTAATGAGGGAGGAGCAGGATGTAACTCTGGAGGAAAAAGGATAATCGGGATGGAGCCCTCCTCCAAATCCTCTTTTTTGGCGTTGTGCAAACGTTGAGCGAAGCTCGCAGCGTCGTGCAACATGACTCTTCTGGGCAGGGGGAACAAATGCCAGAGAGAACCAAGTGCAACTTAACAAGGTGTGACCGAGTACCAGAAGGTGAGAAGAGAAACGAGGGGAAGTGTCGAAAGGAGAGGCTCACAAGAGCGACCAGAGCGTCAGAGCTCATCCGCCTCAGGTCGCGCTGCTGCAGCTCTGGCTCTTGCAAGAAAACAAAAGGGGAACGCGCAACGGCGATTTTATATTTGCGGTCTCATGCGTGAGCGCGGCTGGCTTGGGCGGGCGAGCCCAATATTAAACTGCTCGAGCAGAACTGTCTTGAGCCAAGATGGTTGTGGAGTAATCTCCCTCTTACTCCGGCCCTTCTCCTCCGTATGTTCCACCTCCACCTCCTTCATCCCTTCTCCTTATAGATCACTCCTCCCTGTCGCACGCCGAGGCAGGTCGAAAGGGCGGGCCAGGAGTTTCGCCCGGGACTTCCCCGCCATTTATGATCCTGCAACGTAACATTTTGCAAGAGCTTCGCGGATAAAAAAGGCGGCCCGTTTAAAACACGTGGCTCTCGCCTCAGCGCCGCGCTCATTCGTCTCAAAAGTGTGCAGGGGCTTCACGGGTGGAGGGCGGCCCGTTTTCAAAATGTGGCTCTCGCCGTAGCGCCGCGCAAATTTCTCAAAAAACGTGCAGCAGCTTCACGGATGGAAGGTGGCTCCTCTTCAAAAGGTGGCTCTCGCCTTGGCGCCGAGCTCATTGGTCTAGAACATGTGCAGCAACTTCACGGATGGAGGTCGGCCGGCTTGCAAAACGTGGCTCGCGCCTCAGCGCCGCGCACATTTGCCTTAAAAGTTTGCAGGGGCTTCACGGATGGAGGGCGGCCCGTTCCCAAAATGTGACTCGCGCCTTAGCGCCGCGCACGCTCGTACTAAAAACTGCAACAGCTTCACAGATGGAGGGCAATTCCTTTTTCGAGGTGTGGCTTTCATCGTAGCGCCGCGCACACTCATGTTAAGAATGTGCAACTCGTTAAACTGTTCTCATGGTTACGTCCCAGAAATTGTGCTTTGGCACGGTGTCGGAATGTCCGTGCGCAACGGTCGCGTGGATTCGCGGTGTTGATGTCTCAGGAATGGTGTTCTGGCACGGTTCAAGATCGCCGAGACGCAACACAAACGGTGATTCGCGGCGCTGGTGTCCTCAAAACGGCGTTCGGGTACAATTCCAGATTTTCCAACTGTTACCTTCCAACGGGGCACTTCCCTCAACGCGAATGAATCCGTGTATGGGGTCAATGACGAGGGAACTTGGAGGGAGGGTGAATTGCAATGTCGTTGATGAGTCTTGGGTTTACACTGGTCCTCATCCTCCTCATGCTTCTCCTCCCACTTCTTTCTGACATCCGGCAAACTTAGATCGACTGGAACCATAGCGTCAGCCCCCTCTTACCTTGTCCTCCTCCTCATCCCTCTCTTTCTCCCTCATCGCCCCCGCTCCTCCCGCCATTCCTAGGCCGTTCCTCCCTCCCTCCCCCCTTCGCTCTGCCGATGTTTCGCTCATCGCCCTCCTGCGCCCTGTCCCTCCCTTCCCCCCCGCTCCCTCCACCCCGCCGCCCCCTCCCTCACAGGTCCAAAGGGGCATAAGTGGACACGCATAAATGAATACAACTCCCAAGATTTGCCATCTGGTTCCGTGTGTCCTGTATTTCCTTTCGCGTTTGTTCGTGCCGATTTCCCCCCTTGAAACAGTTCGCATACGCTGAAGAAGGGGCGACACACATGGAGGGGAACCGAGGAAGCGCCCAGGAGAAGAGGGAAGGCCGAGGGGAGGGAGGAAAGCGAGGGAGAATGAGATACGTGCTTCCGACGTCCCCAGGGAGCAGGGGCTCAACCTCCCTGCAATCTCACACGGTTTTTGTTGGCCATGGCGTCGATGCGAGATCGGCCGGCCAGCGGACTCCCCCCCGCTGTCGCTACTCCCGATCCTTCAGCTTCCCCCCTCGTTCCTACTATCAGGTGATCCTTCACGCAGCCGCAAGAAGTTTTGCCGAGCTGTGGCGTCCGCGCGTCGGACTTGGAGTGGGTGCGAACTGTAGGCCATGAAGCAGCTCGATCGTCGAGGCAAGACTGGGATACATAATCCCGCGCCAGCTCCATCGGCATGATGCTTAGGCGCACTCTTTCTACATAGCCTGGCAGATGCAGCTTCCTGGATCCTCCCCAGAGACAGGCATGAACGAGAGACACCTTCCTCCCAAACCCTCCCCTCGCGGGTCCGGGTCTGGAACCTTTCCTTCGGGAAGCCACCTGGAGCGATCGAGCGGTCGCGGAGCGCATGACCAACGCAGCCAAGACACCGACCCGCAACAGTACAAAAATTCCCTGCCGGGTGGTGCTCTTGCACGGAGCAGGTCTGAGGGAGCCTGGCCCCATGATTGAACGAAGGGCCCCCCCCAACCAACACAGTTCGCCCATCTGGGGCGAGAACAATGTCATGAAACGATTGGCGCAGTATACGCTCCAAACATTTCGCAACATCTAGCGGCCCTCGTTTCCGCAGTCAGTCAAGAACACGATGGATACCTTGGAATTCCTGAAAATCATAGGACGCATCATTATCATGACCTCTTGCTCCTCTGATCGTCGCTCCATCCCTCCCACCGTCGCTCGTCACACGGTCCGTCTCGAAGGAACGGCCCTGGGCCGCCCTGGAGGGTCTGCACAAGGCAGGATGAGGATCGTGTTGAGGTCTGCCTGTGCGGCTCACGTCGAGAGTGCAAGGAGCCCTGCCGTCACGAGGCGGTGGGGGGGGGGATGCACGTGCGAACCACGACAGGCGTCTTCTCGAGGTGCCCCCCCCATCCCCCCCCCAGCACCTGAGCGTCAGGACCGTTTGCTTAGCGTGTCGCGTCTGCGGCCCCAGCGAAACGCTACGACTTGCAAGCGGATAGCGTGATGCTCTGCTCCGCGGGGCGGGAGGCTGATAAAGGCTCGGGACGTTGACGCTTGCGGTCTGGGACGTGGTTCGCGTGTCGCGCCGACGCGTGGCGGCGCGATGCGCTTAGCAAACATTCTTCACAGTAAGCGTCCGTCAGTAGACCTCAGGTGAGCACTCGCAGGGTGGGCACTCGATTGCTCGCGGCGTTGGCCATTCTCCTTGGGCCCGCGCTGGCGCGACGCGCACGGGCGACGAGAGTGAAGCAGCCTCGTCATCAGTGGCTCTCTGGACGGGGGAGGAAAGCCTGAGCAAGAGCGGATGAGAGGAGGATGGAAGGTTGGGAGGAGGGAGGAGGGCAAGGAGGAACGGGGTGGAGTGAAGGTGAGAGGGAAAGAATTGCAAGGAAGAGGGCAATGCTCCGACCTCGTGATCAATGAGCTTCACGACGTCAAAAATGCCCCGGATCAAACACATCATACCCCAGTAACAGATGTACGTGATGTTCATCTCCTAGCAGAGTCTGCGACTGATCCTTCGAGCCTTTCGCTGAAATGTTGGATGTCTAACACGCGCCGTCGCAAATACATTATGCAAGTGATGAGCGGTGCTTCTTTGAAACTATTGCTGTTTGTCCCCAGCACGCGAGCAGAAACATATGCAAATGGAGGTTGCAAATGTGCATCCGCAGGGCCACTGCCAGCTAACAACGAATCAACACCCTCTCCATCCTTCTCTCCCTCCTTCTCTCGCCCACTCCTCCAGTCCCCGTCCGCCTCCATGTGCTTCCCCTCCAGTCCTCCTCGTGCCCTCCCTCCTCATGCTCAGTTCCTCTGTCCTCCTTCATCCCTTGTCTTCCCTCCCCACATCTCCGTCATGCCCATCCGGGGGGGCCCCACGATCGGTGTAGAGGCATGCATGGCTTGGCCATCGAGGTACATACGACGGTACATCGGATCCTTGCCCGTCCGTGTGTTGCCGTACTGCGTACAGGGCAGATGGCCTCCAGGGCGCGGGGCCTGAGATGGGCCACGTCGTCGCCGTTCATGGCATCATCGCTGTGCGGGCCCATGACCGCATACTGCACATCAGGCATCGCCGATTGCTTGTCGATATCGCCCACAACTTGCGTGTCTGTGTCAGTCGGGGACGGGAGTTCAGGAGGGGCCGTTCCTCTTTGATCTCCCTTGCCAACCTAACAAACTGAATATCTGCCGAACGAACTGGCGGATCGATATCAAGCTCAACACGGCCACTGTCAGCATGCCGCACGTGATAGCACAGAACAAGTTTGCGCACGGGAGGGCATTTGGCCCAGCGGCGTAGAAGAGCAGCTCGCTCATGGGACGCATGCGTTCGATGACAGGCCGCCAAGCGAGGAGCTGACTCTGTTCTTGTGCACGCGTCTTCGTAACCAAAAGGCGGTCACGGGCACGTCCAAGCCGAAGATGGAGAAGAACACGTTGAAACCGGTGTCTTGGAAGGTGCGAATTAGGCCAGGTCTGCTGGCAGATCTCTTCAGCCATCTGATGGCCAGGCCGAGATCGAGTCGAGAACATGGCCCCGAAGATCTCGTAACACGAGGCACCGTTGCTGTGCTCGACGCACCACTCCATCCAGCTTGAGCGGTCCTCGGCGGGCAAGAGCTAGTCGAATAGAAGGAACCACGAAACAGCCTATCCTTTCGCGCGGGTAGAAAGATGAGCACGCGCACGCTGAGCACGTTGTAGTGGCGGCTCGGTCGCCTTAAAGGCGAATCTACGTGGGTGTGGCGGCTGGTGTAGCCAAGGCCGTGCCAACCACGCCAATCATGAACACTGGATCGCCACCGCGAGGCGTGTGTACGAGTGGAATGGGTGGTTCACCGGTTCGTCACCGAGCCATCGTCGTTGAGCCCGCACGGTGCTGGGGACAAGAGCTGGTCGGAGGACACGTGGACCTGAGCGTCGGCATCGGAAGAGCTGGACGAGGAGCTCGACAAGGAAGAGGAAGAGACTGTCGTTACCGCCAAGACGCAGGGTGCGCTGGGCGCTGGGCGCGATGTTCGTTGATGTCCTGAAGGTCCCGAGGGTGCCACAATGTTGGCTGAAGGAATTTGATGGGGCCGCCGAACACCCAACGTGGCATTACGAAATGCCGCTTTGAAGATCGTCGTCACGCAAACGTCAAACCAAATGATGATGTTGACGTTGACGGTGAGGAGAAAGCGGAAGAGGAGAAGGAGGAATACGGAAGGCAGAAGGAGGAGGCCATGGGTCCGAGGGGGCCGTCTCCGCCCCACCCTCTTCTCCCGGACCAGCACTTCGGAGTCCAAGGTGGCTCGAATCAAATGGCTTCTGCTTGCGCCGCACTCGAGAAATCTTCTGCCGCAGATGACCGCGCCGTGACGCTCGCTGGCGGCCTTGCCAGTTGTTGGGGTGGTCCTGCAAACAAATACCCGAGACGCCCCAAACCCCAAACCCCTTTCCGATCAAGGCGAATAGTTGCATGAACGCTTCATACTCAAGAACACATTACCAAATATGCACGATCTACGCTGCCCTCATCTCGGTCGTGCCTCCCAGAAGCCTACAAAAACGGCGACACTTGCACAGTTCGCAGCTCTCGAGGGAGCCGCAAGGTCTCAGATGCATCTGCGATTCATTCACCTCTACCGTGCCTCCTGGAAGTGGTGACGGTTGCGCAATCCGTAGCCCCCGAAGGAGCCGCGGGCTCTTGCTTCGGTGCATCCGATGTCCGTCCGCGCGGATCCAACTTAAGAATTGCCGGACCCGCGTCCGGTCTCATGTTTTACGGCGGATCTGGTTTCTGCCCCGTTTTAAACTTATATGATTAAAATAAAACGGGGGGGACAATTGGATCCGCGAACCCCGGAACCCGCCTGTGTTAAGATTATACGGGGGAGCGGGGTTCGGTCATCAACTTCCCAGAGTGGGTCCTGCGCCTGTCTCACGTACTCCCACGCACTCCCATCAACTTTCCGCGCTCGCGGGGCCCACTCAACATTAATGCATCTCTCTCCTCCGGTTTGCTGCAATCAGCTCGTCCAGACGCCGTCCGTCTGGCGGCGCCGATGTTATCTCGCGAACTCCTCTTCGCCATTTCCACCTCAAGACGAAAATCTCTCATCCTGCGTGATTCAGTCGTCCCCAGATGGCCACGCGACGCACAACGCCCACTCCCCAAAGATGCCCATGAAGAGGCCGAGGTCCACTCCGAAGGAGCATCGTGCCAACCACCCAACACCACGTCGATGCAACGCTGCAGCGTTGCTCCGCAGCTTCCCAGTGGCGAGTGATCAAACAGCAGCCAAGTATTGCTTGCATCGCGTTGGCTCTGAACCTTGCTAGCTTGCGCAGCGTACCACTCGTTTTCGAACTGGATTGAACTTGAGAGTATGTATGGCAATGGTGATTGTTGCGTTGTGTGCTTTGCAAGCGGCTGCCTTCAAGGTGCAGTTGACAGTATGTCGATCGAATGCCACCAGCCTTGTAAACGTAGGTGGTTTAGGCGGTTCTCTATTCCAGCCCGCGTCTTCCCCCTCGGGGAGACTTAGGTCTAGAGCGTGGTTCTCGGAGGGCGTTGGGGCGTCCAATGTCGCCCACGCCATGGCCTCGGATAACCCAAGATGGCGCAAGATAGCCCAACATGGCGACTGGCCCCCGTCATGCCCCCAAGAAGCCCCAAGATCGCCCCGAGAGCCCCTGGGGGGGCACGCAGGCTTCAAGATGGCCTCGAAGCCTCAAGAACGCCAAGAACGAGTCCCCACAGGGCCCCATATACTTTTATAAAACCATACGAATTAAGCCACCGCTAATTTGCGCAATGTTCACCCAGAGAGCCCCGAGCGAAGCGTCAACAGTGCTCTTTCAATGTGGTCAAATTATTTTGCCCGTGGCGATCTTCCTGTTGAGAACCGCGCAGGGCACTCAGAGGATCATCTGGAACTTGCGCGGGACAGCCGCGAGATACCAAACGAACATCTCAATCTGTGATCTCGGTAACTGAATCTTCCTCATTCGACACGCAATCCCTAACACGTGTGATCTCGGTAGATTGTTATGCTTGGATTCCGAGATCAAGCCAACCTGGATACGGCATTCTGCGCTCATGAGCAGCGGTGCGCCCTTCTCTGCTGGAGTAGCGCTTGTGGGTAACGTGGGCTGCCAGCCTCACCGAAGCAACGATCGCGATCACCACCAGAACTGCCATGCCGATGGAGGTCATTCTAGCAGGGCGTCTCAAGTCGTCCATCTCGATCAGGCCCCCATTGACGTAGCTGATCGTCCAATCTGCCATCAGAAACATCGGCACCATTGCCCTGCACGCGCCCGCAACATCCAAGCACGCCCCCCTTTCCTGGCAACAGCGACTGCGGTCGCTGCAGCCTGTCAGGCTGAGGCACGATGAGCAACGCATAAAGCGTCAACTGCCACATATGCTCTTCTGACAAAAGAATGTACCTGCCACCGAGCACACAAGTGCCGGCCAGGCAACCGTATCCGCTGCTCCTGCTTCCGACTGCACGGCGTGAGGCAGCGCGTCGGACCAAAGCGCAGTGGCCGCCCAGTGTGTCGGGCTGGCAGCTCTCGGCGGAGACTGGCCCACGTACCCCTTTGCGCGGCGCGAGTGGACGCACGCGTGCACGCCAACCGCGCGAACGGAACCACCATGACCATGCAACCTGGCAGGAGGTGCCAGGGCTTGCGAACACCGTTAAGACAACTTCGTACACATGGCCGGCCAATATTGCGCCAATGTGCTACGGATCACTTAAGGCGCGTTCTGGGGACAATCTATGCTGATGTACATGTGTGAAACACGTGTGGCATGAGGCAGTGCGTGAAAGACATCGCACAAAGCATTCAACTCTTACATGACTGGTCGTGAGAGTAACGAACGTGTGTGTATCCACTCCCACCAGCAATCTCCTTATCGGACGCCCGACTGTCGTCTATGACCGTGTATGCACCCCTGCCCTCCCCATAAAAAAAAGGGTTCAAGCCGGTGTCCTGCCACCATGCGTACCAGCCAAAGCCAACGCAGATCAACATGACGAAGCCGCCCAAGATGTCGAGCAACAACCCGAACCGCATGATACAACAGATGCTCTGCAACAACAGAACAGCAATCACTGGCCGTGTCATCCTTACCGTGAAACGAGATGGCGGTCCAATCTGTTCTGGCATGGTCGGGAAAGGAAACAACATTGTCAATAAGTACGTTCGTAGCTATCGGAAACAAGAGAAGTAACGAGGACACGTACTGGGACACGAATAGGGGTCTTCGGCTAGACCATGGATGCTTGCCTTGAGCCCCTTGGCGGCGGACCATAGGACACAACTATCGCGTACACTAGAAGCGCCAGCATGACAATGAGGTAGGCTGTGCACAGCTACCTGCCCCGTGGCTCCAAGATTCAATGACATTCACTCTCAGATGCAGCGCACGCCTGCGCAATCTGAAATCAGGTCATGCACCATCAAGACAATAACATGCCGACTTTCACAACAATGCCTGTTCGAGGTGGGTGAACACCATGCGTGGAGCTTCAACATCATCCGCAAGCGCACTTGTTCTGCAGCCGATGCCTCGATCGCTGCTCCACCATCCTCCTCGGTCGCATCTCCACCTCATCCCACACCTCATCCTCCTTCGATCCATGCGCCTGGGTCGAAACGACCGCAACTCCAACATCACGCCCTCCCCCTTCTTCCGCGCCTGCCCATCCTCCTTCTCCTCCTCCACCTCAGCCAATGCAACGATTGAAGATTCCCCGTCAATGACGTCGGGGCAGCCCCAGGCATCACTTTGCCCACATCAGCCCTGCCCTCCCTCT